TTCCACTTGTTCATTTGCTAAGCCAACTACAATCAAGCGCAGCTATTCCAGTGCTATTTAAACTTGATCATGTGGTTGTTGGTTTTTGTTAATAGTTCTATTTTTAGAATGCTTAATTTTTAGGTGTGCTTGCCCTATTAACTTATTTGTTTTTGTTATTTGATGGCCTTATAACAATTATATTCAACAATTTTTATTGAGCTCGAGGCCGTTTTTTAATGAAAATTTATTGTGGAAAAGCAACAATAATTTGAAAAAATGGTAGAAGTGATAGCTATTTCGGAAATCACCACATTTCCTCATCAGACTTCTTTCAGTAGGATTCGAACCGACGATCCCACTGACTCAGCCAGTTGCCTACGCACTGCTCTTAGTTCGCCTTGCTCCTTGTTGCAGCTTAAATTGGTTGTTGGCTTAACAAATGAAAAAGTGGAAAAAGCAACAATAATTCACAAGGCGAACTTAGCGCAGTGCGTAGGCAACTGGCTGAGTCTGTGGGATCGTCGGTTCGAATCCTACTGAAAGAAGTCTGATGAGGAAATGTGGTGATTTCCGAAATAGCTATCACTTTTACCATTTTTTCAGAATTATTGTTGCTTTTCCACAATAGTTTTTCATTAAAAACGGCCTCAAGCTCAATAAAAATTGTTGAAGATAAAAGTTAATTAAAAAAATTTACTTATAAAATAATTCAACTCAGAAAACAAAAATTGTATATGCGTATAGGTGTATCGATAAATGTGTTTAATAATAGCGATAATTACTACTAATCTGTAACCGCAACCTACTAAGCATTAGACAAAAGAACTTGTAAAAAAAAAATTGCTGAATTCAAATAAAAAACAATAACAAAAATTATTATTATTATTTTTTTCGCTTTTTGTAAATTAATAAATTCATTTGTTGGTATGTGTTTGGTGTTGCCCTCGGCAGAGGTCATCGTGGGTGCTTTTGATGCGTCTGTCCGTCGTCCATTGTCTACGTCAGCTAACCCCCTCAAGTAGTGCAGCAAGTTGATTTTTCAGCTATTTGCCCCAAAATACGGTTACCCCACTATTTAGTGTTTCTTTTCAAATCTCGGCAGTTTAATCCCAATTTTCAGTCAAAAAGTAAACAAAAATATAAAAATCTCCCAATCTTTTTGGTCCAGGTACTCCAAAGAAAAGTTTTGCTGGCCCCCTACAATGTAGGGTCCAAAATAATAAAGTCGGAATTTTAATGCCGCCACCCCCTAGGATTGTTCTGAACCGAAAATAAATAAACCCCAATTTTTTTATTTTGAAATCAAAAAATATTTAGGGAGTGCTCACAGCGCTCAAAGTTTTCTATGTATTTTATATGGGGAAAAAACAAATTTTCGTAAAAATGGCATAAAACTCTTGAAAATCAATATTTTTCAATCGTAAAACTTTGCTTCTCTTCAGGAGACTTCAAATGTTGATATCCAATTGTTTATTTAATCATTTTTTATGATTAAAGATTTTTTATTGGTCCCCCCATTACATTTTCAAGGACCCATTATTTATATAATAAATTGTATAATAAAGTACGAACTACTCCACAAGATAGAGACGGGTCAAAAGTTGGAATATTGTTCAGCTCCACTAAGGTTCTAATCAAGGGAGCATACATTGCATAGTTCGTTTTAGAAAATACGATATAGAAAGAAGAAACACTGCGTAAATTACGTGTAGGAACATTGAAAGTTATTCTTTCCAAGAGGTTAGGGCAATCAACCGATCCATTCAAGAGATTGGCAACGAATGAGCAAGCAAGATAAGCAGATCTGCTACGTAGAGTTTGTAAATTTAGAAGTGCACAACGTGATTCATATGAGGGAATGGGTTCACTAAAATTCCGTGAGCGTAAAGCAAATTTTATAAATTTTTTCTGTATCCGTTCTAATCGCGTGATATGAGAATTGTGGTATGGTCTCCAAATGAATGACGCATACTCCAACCTGGATCTTACTAGAGTAATATAAAGCAGCTTCAAAGTGTATGGATCGTAAAAAGATGAACTATTTCGCCGGACGAAAGCCAGCATCGCGTATGATTTGCCAACTATATATTCGATATGCGTGGAAAAATTTAGTTTCGTGTCGAAGTAGACACCTAGATCCTTGACTTCATTAACATGATTAAGAGGAGATCCAGAAATATGATAGCGCGTGTGGAGCGGAATTAGCTTTCTGGTATAAGTACAATGTGAGCACTTATTTATATTTAGATGAAGGCGGTTTCGTTTGCACCAATCGTGTACTTTAACGAGTTCTCCTTGAAGGGCAATGGATTCGTTTATACATTTAATGCCAGAGTAAATTTTGAGATCGTCCGCATATAATAGATATTTAGATGACGAGAAGCAGGACCCTATGTCATTAATAAATAAAATAAACAACAGTGGTCCAAGTATACTACCTTGAGGAACACCCGACGTCGCAATAAAAGGCTGTGAGTAGACATCCTCGAACACAACCATGCAATTTCTGTCAGACAAATATGATTTAATCCACTCCAAAAAATTAGAGTGGAAACCCATAGAGAATAATTTAGACACTAAGACCTTGTGAGAAACTCTGTCAAATGCCTTTGAAAAGTCAGTATATATTGTGTCGACTTGCTGGCCAGCTTGAAAAGCAGACAGACAATCTTCCGTAAAAATCGCAAGATTAGAGACTGTGGACCTTCCTTTAATAAAACCATGTTGGTTTGGACTAATTAAGCTGCTAACTGAGAATGACAATTTCACCTTAATAACACATTCAAAAATTTTCGCTACTGTGGTTAACTTTGAAATTGGTCTATAATTAGATACATCATTTTTGTTGCCACTTTTAAAAATCGGGGTTATCTGAGCCTTTTTCCAATCATCAATAAATTTACCCGATGCTAAAGACATATTAAAAATCAGTGTCAAAGGTTGGATTAATGCAGGGCATTTTTTAAAGAGTATGGCTGAAAGGCCATCAGGATCCATAAGATTTGAGGTTTTAAGTGAATCAATACCACTACCAACGTCCACTTCCGACAGTGTAAGCGACCCAAACGCAGGTAGGCATTCAGGAATAAAGGCATTAGCATGGGTAATATCTGAGTCGGAGACAAAATTTGAGGAGAAAAACTCGGCAAAAATATTGGCTGCTTCCTCGGGACAACTTGCATGTTTATCCTTATAAAAAACAGACGCAGGAATGCTGGATTTCGAAGATTTGGATTTAATATAACTCCAGAATGCTTTAGGATTTTTTTTTTATATTAGCTTCCTGGTAATTAACGTATTTAGCATAGAGTAACTTATCGAGTTCATTAAACTTCTTTAAATATAATTGGTATTGCTCATAATAAAATAGTAGTTTAGTCGCTTTAAACTTTTTATGGTACTTATTTTTACGATTTTTAAGATGCTTTAGATGTTTAGTATACCAAGGTATCTTATACGTTTTTCTTGGAAAAGTAGGGATATTATTTACGCAAACCTCATAGATTAATGATTTGAAAAGACCAAAGGCATTCGCAGTATCTAAGTTACCAAGTAAGTGAGACCAATCGTACCCCTGAATAATATAATTCAAGTCAGTAAAATTGCACAAGTTATAATTTAATTTGGGACGAGAACTAAATTGTGGGGCAGCAAAATATTCATAGAAATGTAGGCTTATAACTAGAGGAATATGGNGTTAAACGTTTTTTTTGGAAAAGTAGGGATATTATTTACGCAAACCTCATAGATTAATGATTTGAAAAGAGCAAAGGCCTTCGCAGTATCTAAGTTACCAAGTAAGTGAGACCAATCGTACCCCTGAATAATATAATTCAAGTCATTAAAATTGCACACGTTATAATTTAATTTGGGACGAGAACTAAATTGTGGGGCAGCAAAATATTCATAGAACTGTAGGCTTATAACTAGAGGAATATGGTGCAAGTTTTCAGCTGAGATCGGAGAACTACAAACTGACAATCGAAAATGCAAATTATTAGATAAAAAAACTAGATCTAAAAGCCGATTATGCTTGTTAAAAAAGCCATTGACTTGACATAAACCAATACTTAAGAGACTGTCAATAACAAGGATTTCACTTTCACTAGAAATATTTACAGGAGTTAAGACAAATAGGCTGTTCAAATTACGCNGCAGGAGTTAAGACAAATAGGCTGTTCAAATTACGCCAAGAGGTATTACATAAATTAAAATCCCCAAGAACACAAAGTTGGTGATCTCCTATACTAGAGCTTAATGAAATAATATTATCGATATGTGCCTTGTAAATCATATAGTTGCTGTTCGGAGGAATATATGAGGCACACAGAAAGAGTAGTCCACCCGGGCACCGCACACTGACGCATAGTTGATCAAGAATAGAGTCTGCATTTTTCAAATTGATAGACGCTGAACAGAGTTTACGTTGTACCGCGATTAAAACTCCACCACCTCTCGAACACCCAGTTTTTAATTCATCTCTATCCTTCCGAAATACATTATAGAGAGTAGCATCAAAGAATTCAGCATCAAAGAAATTTGGGGTTAGCCAACTTTCAATTATAATGAAAATGTCATATTCTTGATGTGAGCTTAGTCTACGAACCACATCACCTTTAGATCGCATGCCAGACACATTATGAAAATAGATTTTCAGCTCATGCGCAGGTTTAACATTTACTAGGCTGGTTGAGACTGTTTTTCCTTTCTTTGTAAAAAACGAAAAGGACGAACCGTAACATTGGCAGGCCAGATTTCGGGCATAAGCAGCTTACGAAAGAGCCCTTCAGGAACACGCAATTTAAAATTCACATGTTTTAGAGACTCAGTTGCCGCATCTTTCTTTACAAGTTTGAAACAGGATAAAAGGTTTTTAGAGATGCCCGAATGTCTTTCTACATATATAAGTATATCATCAGTCTACACTGATGGCATAAACGAGTCGAGATGAAGCCACTTTAAATGCTCGGCAACCTTGAGATCAGCGTTAGTACTGGATCCAAAAACCCGCAGATCATTCACTTTCTTAGCATTATTGTTACGAGGTAAATAGCCCCGATATCATTTAGATCATTAATGCGTGTAGAAGGCGAAGCGGCTGTATTAATAGGTAAACGCATATTGGCACACCCTAATGCAGTTAAAGTGTTTGCATTTGGATTAGCATAGGCAATGTCGCGCGCTGCGGAATTTGTAGAAAGAGGGGTAGGCGATGAAGCGTGATTAACATTAGATTGCACAGAAATTGTATCAGCAGCAGCAGCGTAATTTGTAATTGAATTATAAGAATCATCGGTGTTGATTTCCGCAACAGCACCGGCAGGAGACCTAACAGAGCGATTTCCATTCGATTGCACGGAATTAGTGCCAGCAGCGGCAGCAGCAGCGTAGCTCATACCGGGTAAAGATGTATTAGCAGCAACAACAGCATTAGCAGTGCACGGGGTTGACGGCTTCGTGGTGGTAGTGGTAACAGCAGGTAAATTGACAGTGCAATCTGCGACAGTATTTGCATCCATGAGGCCACCAACTTGACGTACAGTATTAGAGCCATGCGAACTAGTATTAGTATTAATATTAGTATTAGTATTAATATTAGTATTAGTATTAGACAACAAAACAGCATCAGCGAACGACGAGCAAGTTGGTCTAGTAGAAGTAGTGCTAAGAGAGACAGCAGGTGTAGATTGAAGAGCAACGGCTGACATCGATGTAGGCGCAGTAATAGAGGTGTATGTGCTATCGTTAGTTACAAGTGTATTGACAGCTGTAGCGATTGTTACAGCAGAATCCAAATGAGCGGGAGAGATACCGTTAACGTTACTGACAAACTGTGCCCGTGGCGAATTAAATGCATGAGGGACAGCGGAAAACTCCAAAACACCAGGTGAGGAACAATAGTAGTTATTGTTGTAAGAAACATTAGCAGCAGTTTTTCTGGCATTGAATTCCGCAGCCATCATATCAGCATTCACAGCGTTAAGGTTATTTGCACTCGAGTTGTTGTTGGTCGAATGCAAGGAGATTATTAGATCTTTTATTGCATCAAATTGTTTCGATAAATCTTTGAATTTAGCATCAAAGGTATTTGAAATAAGATCAATACTAAGCTTTTGAGTTACCAGAACTGCATCCAGAGCCTTAACGAGTTTCTCTGGCATGACAACACACTCATCACAAAGATATAATAAATTACGTTTTGTTTTGACCAAATTGAAATCGTATTCGAGAAACGTCTTTGCAGCAAACACGATGAAAAGTTTTTTTACAAAACCCATTACACGGCAGCAGATTAGCATCAGATCTTGAAAAGGCTTTAGTACATTTTCCGCAAAAATTCTCCATTACGAAAGAAAAGATAATAAAATAACAGAGCGAATTAAAAGCACGTCTGCACACACCGAACACTGAACTGAATATTAAATATAGTCACCATGAAAAAATTGTTAAAGGAACAATTGGGTATTATTACCGGGAATCTCCTGAAGATAAGCAAAGTTTTCCTATCGAAAAATATTGATTTTCAAGAATTCTACACTATTTCTACGAAAAGTTGTTTTTTCCCCATATAAAATACATTGAAAACTTTGAGCGCTTTGAGCACACCCTAATTTTTTTTTATTTCAAAATAAAAAATAGGGGTATAATTTTTTTTTGGTATAGAACAATCCTAGGGGCTGGCGGCATTAAAAATGCGACCTTATTTTTTACATACATTTTTGGACCACTTTAACTTACCCTACATACAGTATTGGACATATCTATAGCACCCCCCTTTCAAAGCGATATTGTTTGCCACTTATGTTTAATTATTTGTTTTTAAGAATTTTCAATTAAAATATAGTTTATTCTCTAACAAAGCCCATATAAACCAATGTTTTAAACTTTTTAAAAGACCGCAAAAAAGTGCAACGAACTTTCCCTTAAATTTCAAACTTTTTTCTCAGAAGCTCTAGAATTTTTATAATTATAATTTTTTTTTTGCTATAGAACAATCCTAGGGGCTGGCGGCATTAAAAATGCGACCTTATTTTTTACATACATTTTTGGACCACTTTAACTTACCCTACATACAGTATTGGACATATCTATAGCACCCCCCTTTCAAAGCGATATTGTTTGCCACTTATGTTTAATTATTTGTTTTTAAGAATTTTCAATTAAAATATAGTTTATTCTCTAACAAAGCCCATATAAACCAATGTTTTAAACTTTTTAAAAGACTGCAAAAAAGTGCAACGAATTTTATTTACCTTAAATTTCAAACTTTTTTTCTCAGAAGCTCTAGAATTTTTTTGAGTACACAGTTTTATAGCGCATTCAATTTTGTCCAATAATAAGTAAGTTTCAAGTCGCTAAAAATTACCGTTGATTTTTTAGATTTTTTTTGTCTCATTTGCTTCCATATAACGTCTAAACACAATTTATTTTTATATGTCAGAAACCCGCAACATCCTCGGTGAAAAAAATTCTAAAAAATCAACGGTAATTTTAAGCCACTTGAAACTTGCACATTATTAGACTAAAATTGAATGGGCTATAAAACTGTGTACTCAAAAAAATGCTACCGCTTCTGAGAAAAAAGTTTGAAATTTTGTGTGAAAATTTGTTGCACTTTTTTGCGGTCTTTTAAAAAGTTTTAAACTTGAGTTTATGTGAGTTTTGTGAGAGAATGAACTGTATTTTAATTGAAAATTCTTAAAAATAAATAAATAAACATGAGCGGCAAACAATATCACTTTGAAATGGGGGTGCTATTGTATTGGCCAATACTATATATGTTTTTTCTGGTACAGCTAACCAAGTGAAATATCTTCGTCGCGTTACTTCACGTTCATTGGCAACGTTGGACACCATTGTGGTGTAGCTGGCTGAGTGGCAGTTTGGCATGCTGGTTGGCCCAGGCTAGCTCGACGGCCAATATGGGCGTTGTTTGCCACAGCCTTTGCCTATAGCTACAACAAACAAATATTTATTTATAATGCCAATGTAAAAGAAAACAGAAAAAAATTATAGTTTAAAAAACTGAAACCTCCCTATTATAATTGCCATTCGTACTGTCATCAGGTATGTAACTTGAGAATAGAAATCGCTGCATCTTTTAGGCGCATCAATATTACATAGTTACATCCCGAGCTAATAAAAGGAAGGTAAAAAGGAGAAGGTCTGTCCGGTTCAGGTGGAGCTATCCCAACCCTTCTTAGTACTTATTGTACTAAGCCGTGAACTTCGCTGTGCCTCCGGTGGTCATCGCGCGAAGTTCCCTTTGCCTGACCTAGTCCGTCAGTAATTTCATCTTAAACCCAATTCCTCTCTACGTCGCACGATAGCAACACCCACACCAACCTGAAAAACCTTAGAGATCCATGAAAAAATAATAAGGCTCTACTCAACGGAACTGCATTATTTTATTAATCATTCATCAATCTTATCTTATTATCCTATAACTACAATTCACCTATTTCCTATTTGCTATTTTTTTCTTCTTTTTTTTACTATAGTGCCTTCCTTTTTCTTATTGTTTTAAAGTTCTTCACTTTTCGTAACTAGATGTGCGTGTAAATGTGTCTGTACATAAATATGGGAATGTTCGGCAAATCTAACTATACCCATATATGTAGTACCGTCCGAAAACACTACAGTACAGATATATCAATAAACACGTACGAAAGAAAAGGAAAACATACGTTTATAAATAAACATGTACACAACACATATACAAAAACGGCACTCAAGTACACAATACATTGACAAAAACGGTACTAGACTGTCTCGCTTTGATTTCGGAATGCTTACACATTGAGAAGTTAGCTTACTGCCAATATAGAAGTATTACATATATGTCTATACCTAGTATTCAGCCACCTCTGCTTTGGATGCTGCCTCGCCATATCTCTCATCTCAGGTCTCTGTGACAGATATATATGATGCAGCTGTCGCATCTGCGACTGCGGTACCTCAGGCACCCCAGTGGGAAGCGGCTACCAGAAGAAGACGTAAGAAATTAAATAAGCCTATTGTCATTGGCTCCAATAACAACAATGAACTACAAGTTCAATGGAAAGTCCAGATTCTTTGTACGCGGTAATCTCGAAAACTACTGAACGGAATTTGACGAGATTCTAATATACTCTGTATTGACAGGAGAGCGAACTTTTTTACTTAGAATTTTAATGGGTTGCCACCTGTCTAAAAAACTATTAGACATGCACTGTTCGTTGGATTACAAAAGATGAGGTGTCAAATGACAGGCATTGTGCACCAATGCTTTTTAATAGGGTTGCCACCTGTTAATAAAATTCATAAAAGCGTAGGCATCAGTTCTGCACCGCCACTGTCAAACAAAAAGACTTAGGCACGGTGCACATTAGAGCGATACGATACGCGATACGATATGAATCAGTGTTAATATTTGAGACTTTTAAATTGTACTAAATTAATGAAAAAGTGTAAGTTTTTGAGGTTAATTGTACTTTTCGCCGTTTCCGTCAACACCATTGCCTATATTTTTCGCTTATCCGAAAAAAACATTTTTTTTTGTCTACTGCAGGGTGTTAATTGTTCAATTCATTGTATAGCTTCAGTTGTTGTACGGTTAATTTAACATAACTTATCATTGTGATCTCTTCATTATATTCCAAATTTATAAAACTACACCTCCCGATAAAATAATATAGTCACTCGGTTTGGGCTATTTATTTTATTTATGTCAAATTTTAATCGTTTTTTTTAGAAAAGTATAGCTTATTGTCTAACAAAAATAAACCAAGATTTCAAAATTTAAAAAAAAATCGAACTTTCGTTATATAGAGGAAAGTGAAAAAATGTTTACCCACAAAATTTCTACAAATTCTGGATTTATTTTTATGGTTTCTATCAGGCAATGAGCTATACTTTTATAAAAATATAATTGAAATTAATTTGACAAATAATAAAATAAAATAAACAGCCCAAGCCGGGCGACCGTATCACTTTGTCGCGGGTTGCATATTCAAAGATGAAGGCAATAACGATAAAAAATTAATAGATAAGTTTATATTAATGAAAATAAATTACATAAAATGAGATGACTAGATTTTTTCAATAGTGATATTTCACCCACCGGTGATAAAAAAAAATGCAATCACCATAACGCTCATCACTAAAATTGCCATTCACATTCTCGTTTACATTTAAAATTGCAATTCACAATTTCATTTTGAAATATGAAATGTAGGCATGTCCTGTTTCGTTTGCATTCTTCTTTCTTTCTCGCAAGCGAGATGAAATTTTGTTTACTGGGCATTTAAAAGCATACTTTTTCACGAAATTCCAAACACATTCATATTTTAAACCATCTGGAATCCGCCACTCCATTTTATTATTTTAAATAGACATTAACTCTTTCTAAATTTTTATTTTTTCTTTTTTGAAAATTAATAGTTCCAAACTAATAAAATTACAGATGAAATCAAGCAGATCTCGCAAACCACTCGGTATGCTAGAAAAAAATATGCTTCGTACTTTTTGCGGTCTGCACGTGCGGGATCACGCATGAATTGTCACGAAAACTATATTTTCAAGCAGGTGAAGGTGGACAGTAACTTAAATTTAAAAGGACTAAGAATCAAAGTGCCAGCGAAAGTTAGAGCGCTGGGTTCAAAAAGTATTTTCGATGTTAAAATTGTACTTAAAATCAGTAAATTGTACTTTTGTACTTTTTAAAACTAATTGTACTGAAAAAAGTACACTTGTACTTAAAATATCAACACTGATATGAATGTGACATCGGCATGCTGAGTACGTTGGAATTGGTAGGAAGCGATGAAAACTGTGCACACTTGCACGACAGCGACACCGCTGCGATATAATATCGCATGCGTATCGCACGTGCGACACGGTTTTCTGAACGAGGTGAGATTAGCATCGCGCGGTATTTTTTGCAATGAGCATGACCATTTCACAGGCGGAAGCATCTTCCTCATTTTTTTTTAGTCGAATTTATAAAAAAAAAACATGTTTTTTAAACTATACAGACAAAAAACGACTGTACAACTAATTTGGCATGGAGAAATATAGCGTCTGAAGTCAAGGAAACGGTAAATGTACGAAATAATATTTTGTGTGATGGTTTATTTGCCTCTGTTTTCACATCTTTAAATTTAAAGAACCCAATAATTTT